TTGGAATCATGCAACTTGGTTGCATGATGAATGAGAAATTTCATATTTGGAAATTAGACTAATTTGTTGACAAAGTGTCAAGTGAAGGACTAGGAGATCGAGTACACAAAGTTGTGTGTTGATCAAGTCCATCACAAGAGTAATAAATATATCCATCATTATTTACTAAAGGTTTAGTAAATATGATTATACTTATAAGATTAAGTGTGATAGTAAATTGATTGAAAGAGTTTAAATCAATAGCGGAACGAATAAGAAGAATCAAGTAGGCAGAAAGATAAATGTTTCTCTATTCTAAGAAGAAGGGAGAGTACCTTTTATTATGTTTTATGATAGGTCTCAATGATTAAGAACCATATCTCAATTGATTCTCTAAGTGAGTCTTAGTACAATTGTATGTCTAAGAAGAGGAATCAAGAATCGAAGAAATGGTTAAATCACAAAGTCGATCATACTTCGTTCCAAAAACAAGTCTTAGAGTTAAGATTGTGACATTGAGTGACAAGTCTTAAGAAGGTTTATAACATTCACCAAATGTGGAAAGTTGTGATGTCTTGGATAAGACAAAGACCAACTAGGACCAATTTTGTGAAGTGTTTTGTCTTGATAAAAGCTACACTAACTCTTGAATATTTGTTTGTCAAGAAATGTTTATTGACAAGAGAATCTTATATGTCAAGGAGTCAGTGGGAGTCTTAATGGTCTTGAAAGGTTTCAAGAACAAATCAAGAATAAACCTTATCGATCATCACTAGCACACGACTTGAGGTTTATAACCTATCGTGTTGACGTTATTTTGTTTCTGTGCCATTCCAATTGAGTTAATTATGCATGTGAGTTCTAAGAGTTCTCATTTGAATGCATAAAAGGCAAGGACCTTGATCAATGAAAAGTACATTGATAGGAAAGGGTGAGCTGCTTAACTGCTTGGAAGGCATGGTGGGCACTTGTGTTACCATATGGCAAGAAATCAAGATTAAGAGTTCGGTCCATATGAGTTTGGATTTGTCGCAAGCTTTGGTTTTGAAAAATTCGCATGGATAGGAACACATACACCATTAAAATCTAAGTGTCATAAGATTCCCTCCATGAAAATGACTGTGAGGAAATGCTTTCACTAAGAGAGATTTTAAGAAGATAATGATTGTGAAAATTGCATTCTTAAATTCGATTATGGTTACGTTATCCCTTTCCATGATTCGAATTGTGAGATTTGAAATTAGTCTAAATTGTTTAGAGACATATATGAGATATCTAAGGCAAAGGTGTATAAGCTTAGATAAAGGATTATCAAAGCATTAGATATTAGAAATATGAACTTAAGAAATTCAATAGGTATTGTTTTTCTGGAAGTTAAGCTGTTTTCTGAATGCATGTCAAAGGTAGTGGAAGCATAAGAGTTATGCTTATATGATAATAATCATCATGATAGTGGGAGCATAAAAGTTGTGCTTGCATGATTATTATGGAAAGTATTGCAAGTTAGCAATATTAATTATAGAAAACAAGAGTTATACTTTGCAAAGTTGCAAGGGTTAAAAAGTCGTTTTGTTATAATTAAGGGAGAGAATATTATGCTTCATCTCAAATCTAAAGGCTTAGGTTGTGGAATATTAATAAATTTAGTCAAGGATACATAGTGCGTTCTCAAAATTTCGATTATGATTATGGCATCCCTCTTCATAGTTCGAATTGTGAGAACGTGACACATTAAATATTATAGCAGAAGATTGATAAAGTATTGTATCTTTGTGTAAGACATTATGCATCGTGTCCCATACACTTCCGGTATAGGATTGATTGCAAGTGCTATAATATTTGACCATTCTAAAATTTTCCAAATTTCTAGCGCATTTAGAGGGAAAAGGACAAGAATCGGTTTTGACTAAGATAATTAAACACCTATCAAAGGATGATCCAAAGCTCGCTGAGGACTGGTCGCTTGTGAGTAGCTGGAAGTATGGTACTGGATGGAATATATTGACATTATTATGAATAGATAAGATTCTATTAAGATTGAGTTGTGATATGGCAAATATGGAAATGTTTCCATATTGGGAGTTGGATATTGAGAATTTATATCTAGATTAGAAACTTTTATGCAAGAAAGGGTGTTCAAAGGAATGTACTTTGAGACATCATATCTATAGAATTGTTTCTTATAGAGATTGGCCAAGTCTTGATGATTTTGAGCTATGAATTTACGAAAGAATCACTGCATAAAATGTTAGAATCTAGCATAAGAAACAAGAATTTGATATTCTTACACTTGTGATATGGATTGGGAGTTGTGAAATGAGTACGATTGGAAATGTGT